TGACAGACCAGCAGCTTTCCAATAAACCACAGTATTATTGCAATAGACTTTGTAATACAATTTATGCTGTCATTCATAAATAACAATGCCATATGTCAACCATATTGCTTACACAAGTAAATCCATCAACATGTCAGTATTTGATTTATCTACACAGCTCCTATAAATATTGAAGTATAGATATTGAAAGGGATGTGAATGAAAGGAAATTATCCCCCCCCAAAAAAAATTTTTGAAGTTAAAAAAAAAGCCTGTACTTGCTTCTTTCCAAACATCCTAAAGGGATGAAAAGGGAACAGTCTATCTTGGGGCCAATATAAACAAATATTACCTTGACCACACATGAAAGTTATGTGGTGATTGATCTGACCTTCTGAACGTATTTTAGAACATGTGCTTCTTTTAAAAAAAAATCACCAATCCTTATGGCCAAATGTAGGTCAAAGGCCTTTCTCTGGCAATTTTTATCTCTGAGGGTAAAAATGATAGAGGCTCAGATGAAAGCATTTGACCACAGGCTGATTTTATACACTTTGTTCTTTTAATACTGGAGAAATAAGAGTATAATTTTTCAACTCCTCTTTACCATAAAGGACAAGTGGACATAGGACATGTCCAATTCTTGATTGTCCAAAACAACGCAAGAGAAACCTATGGAATCCAGCTTCCTAGTCATGGCACTAGAGATATAACATCTGCCTTATTCACCTTATGTTAATGTGTGTGTAACAGGAATCAGAAGTACATTTTAGCCAGTGCATTTTTGGATACTTGTAGTCCCACACATATCCTTAAAGCTTGAAGCTTCTACAGGATCTTGGGGAGGAGAGAAAGAGGCACTCAGAAAGCACTTGGTAGTACTAAGGCCTGTGGGCCCAGTCACAGCCACCCCACCCCACCCGTGCCCGTGCCGTTCCCCAAGCCATCCAGATGCCGAATGGTGAGGGCAAGGGAATCTGTTTCCCTCTGAGAGAAGAAGACGAGAGAGGGGCTCAGCCCTGGCTGCCTAGTCTGGAAAACCTGATTTAAGAAAAGCTTGCACTCAAAAGTCCTCATCACTTCCGGCCTTGACAGAGAGCGGGTAAAATGTTGCTTCTCTGCCCCCTTTGCCTATCTGGCTGGGGTTCGTGGCTTGTCACAGAGAGGTCTGGAGGACCAGCACCGCCTTGCCCGCGTGGGCTAGCAGTTCCCAGCCCTGTCCACGTCGAGCACCCATGGGCGCTCTCGGGGCGAGCTTCAAAGATCTCTCTATTCCTCCGGGAGCTGGTACTCAGTTCGCCCTTGAACCCGCTTCCAACACAACCCAAAGGGCACTAGACTGTTCCAAAACAGCCAGGCACCTCACCCTTCTGCCAGCAGGCCGTCCTCTCCGAAACCACGCGGGACCAGCGAGTCGTAAAGCAATTCAGGGGCAATAAAAGACGGCCGGGCGGGTCCCCCCAACTCCTTTTTTGTCGGCCCCACCTTTCCCAAGTGCCCTTCTCCCCCTTGCAGCAGAAACAATCAAACAAAGACTCAAAAGCCAGGAAATGTCCAATTCACGTCCCTTAGAGCCTATGAATTACCCACACCCTTTGCAGGCAAGTTGGCCGTTCAGTGGGGGAGCCCAGGGCACCCCGGGGCTGGGGAGACGCTGCCCTTCCTCCCCGCAGCGGGAAGCCGCGAGCGCAACCAGAGCATCCCCGGAGATGGGGTCCCGTGGCCTTGAAAGGCAGCGGGGCAGCGGTGTGGCGGCCGGGCCCGGGCCAGCTAAGGTTGGCTGAGCTCCTCACCTCGCCAGCCTCCTGGCGTCTTTTGTTTGGGGCTGGAGCAGGTTTGGATCTGGGGTGCAACTGGCAACTGAGTGACTTGGAAATTGAGGACTCCCCCAAACCTCTAGTTGATTCCAGAAAGGGGCACTTCCATGGCTTGCTGCATTACACACACACACACACACACAACACACACACACACCACACACTACCACTGTTTTGGGCACTGGCCCCGATGCCAAGCACCAGTTCTGTCGGCTAAGTCCACAGAAGAGGATAACGACGTTTGTAGTCCGAGGCTTTTAAAAACTAGTTGATTATTTTCTTGAATGCCCTAGAAATTGTTGGTGTTTATTTAGGAAGTGTGACAGTTATTGGGTCCTTAGAAACTCGGGATTTAAGGGAGTTTGATTTGGTTCCCAAATAGCTTGAAAAAGAAACAGCGCACCTGGGGTCAGGCAGGTCATCACAATAACAAAAAGCGCGTCTACAAAATAAAAAGCTCTTTTATAAAGAAAAGCAATCCCGGAAATCCACTGCAAGCCTTCCTGAGGACCATCTAGCTAGGCCTATTCTCAGGTTTAATTGGCAGGCGGTTTATTGGCGCCTTATTGGTGTTGATTGAAATTTTGCTCCCAGTCCTTTCTTTTAAGAATTAGCATCTCAAGTCGATTTACCTGAGTCAATTATCATTTTAGAGTCTGGATTTGGTCATAAATTTGCAAATATTCATTACAGTCACTTTGTAAATATCCCTCTTTCCAGTCTCTATCCAAATCTCTGTTATTTCATAAGAAGTCTTTTCTTTTTTAAGGCTTCCATAAAAAGAAATTGATCAGGGAGCTATAGTTGAATTAAGACATATTAAATCGATGACAGATACATATCACGCTGTGTTTAACAAGAGTTGTACAAGGAGGCGGGTTCCAGATTCCGCACGGCTCTGCTGTAGCATTATTCACATTTTTACAGCCTTTCCTTCATGCCTCCACCCATTAAACCATTAAATTTCAGCAATTCAATAAAACAAAGCAGTTGTAATTTTGACGAAAAGCTATTTTGAAGGGGGTGGAGGTGCCCATTTTATTGCACAATAAAAATGCTCAACAGTCTATATTATGGGCTAGGTTGTATTTATTTTCTTCTTTCTTTATTCATTCCTTTTGGGTTTTGTGTTTGCTTATAACCTGCAGGATTGAACTCAAAGCTGCCATTACTGCAAGTATGGACACTCATTGCCAAGAAATTCAAATAAAGAAAACCCATTTGAAATGTTTAAGAATAGTGGTAATTTCCAATATGATGCTTCCTTTATAAACCACTCGTGGAGATAGCATAGTTCTCAATTGACCCTGTTGTGGTTGGTTTAAGATGTCTAAAGTCTTCGAAACAAAATTGTGAAAGGACTGGTCACTTCCAAATACAGATATAGGTTTTATCTCTGCTGCTTATTTAAAACATTTCGTTGTTTCCATTCATGCTTTTTAAGTTTCTGTATATTTTAATGTCATTTAAATGTAAAGAAAAAAATTTATTTGAAAAATCTGATAGCATTATTGTCTTTGTTTGCTTGTCAGCTTTACAAGAGAAATAACATTCATAATGTTCATAGGGAAGCTCTCCCTGAAACCTCCCTGAAACGTTGTTCATACCAGTGTCAATGGCACTAGCAAATCAACTCTTTCCAAAATATTTATGTCTTCCTAGGATAGTTACTACATGATGGTTTTGTGGGATCTACTTTTACTTGGATTGTAAATGGAGTTGGGAACATATTTTATCATATCCCTCAAAGGGGAGAAGGGAGGGGTCACCGTCTACTCATTATTGATGTTTTACAAATGATTTTATGAAAAAAAGCAAAAATTTAAAAAACCTATACTTTGAATATTTTGGAACACCACAAACTTTTAAGTGTTTTCTTTTGAAAACTTGAAATGCCACTTTAAGGGCACTAAAAGTATTTCCGGGGGGTCTCACATTTTTCTGACCCCCCCCCAAGATGGAGGAATCTATTCCTTTAAAAAAAACCAAACTGATTTGGTAGCAAACATATGGAAAGAGACAGGGTCGCTTTTAAAAAAAACAAAACAAAACTGTTTTTGTTTTTTGTAAGACATCTGGGTTTAAGGTGAAAGGTTATTCTATTAGTAAATAGGTTGTTTCTTGGTTTTAAAATATTTTGGGGGTCAACTCTAATTGGTGATCCTTTCAAAGAAATTGAGGCACACGTAGGGAGTGCAGGGAGTGCGTTCTAGGTAGGAAGAAGAAATGCTGCTTAAAGGTAACTGATCGTTTAAGAGCTTCCTTTAGGAGAAATGGCCAGTTAGCCTTGTGCCCCGTATTCTGCCGCCCCGCCCCTCCAGTAGATCTAATTGGAAGTGGCAGATCTAGAACCGATGAGGAGAGATTTCACTTGGAGCCAATTCCTTTGAACCAAGTTGAAAGGGACTCCATGAGCTAAAAAGTCGAAGGAAGATGGATCCTTGGGACAAGGATTTGTTTTGACTTCTCCTGATATGTAGCAGGACCCAATCACAAAAAAATAAAAAAGTTTTCCAACCAGTAGACTTTAATAAGATTCCTCCTTCTAGATCCTGTCTGAACCCAGGGTGTTGGGAAGACTGGGCGTCCAAGGCATCTAAGGCAGAAGTTTCTGGCATTACCACTGCTAGGATGTTCACTCAGCAAGCAGCCCAGAGTACTATTACTCTACTCCGAGAGTAGAAATTGGAGCTGAAAGCAATGCAACTAGGGGAAGGTTTTGGAGCTGGGGGCCTCCCACCCTCCCCGCCCTTTACTCCTGGTGGGCTCTCCAGCCCCTGGCTCCCGGCGCCTTCGGACCGCGTGCTAGCTGACACTCTCCGCGAGGCGCATCAACTGTGCAAGGTGCTGCGCGCGCAGGCCAAGCGCAAACTTTGTGCAAGTGCAACTTGGGCATCCCCGGGGAGGCGGAGACGCAGAGCACCAGGGGAGGAGGGGGCGCGAAGTGAAAGTGCAGGCGGTCGAGAGCACGGGGGCGGTTCCCCGCTGGGCCGAGGGCCTGAACGGGAGCCAATCGGGCAGCCGAAACTGCTGCCAATCACGCGACTCCCTCCAATCCCACCCGTGCCATTTCCAAAATCTCGGTCCCACTGTGCAGCTCAAATGTGGCGTTCACTCTGCCAATCGCTGGAGGACAGAGTGGGAACCGGAAAAGGAGAGTTAGGAGGCCAGGACAAAAGAAGTTAAAGAGAGCCTACTATATACATGTTTTTGAAGGCGGGCAGAGGGAAAAAAGTCCCCCCAGTGAGGGTCTGTGGGCCTGATTGTATAGTTATGATGGAGCCCCCTTTGAGCAAGAGGACCCCGCCAGCGCTAAGATTAGCGGATTTGGCAACGGCTCAGGCCCAACCGCTTCAGAATATGACAGGCTTCCCGGTGCTGGCCAGCCCGCCCGCCCATTCCCAACTCCGTGCTGCCGCCGCGCACCTCCACCCACGGGACCTGGGCGCTGACCCCGGCGTGGCCGTCACTCTGCTCCGACCCGAGCACATGGCCCAGGCGAGCGCGCAGAGCCTCGGCCCGCCCTCCCAGGCACTCTCGGTGCAGCCCGAGGCTCCGGCCGCCGCCGACTGCACCGCAGCCTTACTCGCGCACCCCAGCGCCGACACCTACCCCGGCGGCGGGGGCAGCGGTGGCGCG